TTTTCCATCCAAGTCAGCGGTGAAACTCCCATGGACTTCGCTGGGGGGGTGAGCTTGATGGAGCCTCCCACTGCTGCAGTGCCGTTGAGGTCTTTGAAAAGCACACTAGTAACTCACCGTACCATCTGCAACGCAGTCAGTAATGGGAGGGATGATGCCAGGTGACTGTACGACAAGCTCCCACAGGCAAAGAGAGTAAAACACACAGCAGGGCTATGTCTACACTGCAGGCTTTTTGCGCAAGAACGGCCGTTCGCGCGCAAAAACGTGCGGAGCGTCTACACTGGACGCTTGTTCTTGCACGAGTAAATTTACAGTAAAGTGTCAGAAAATAAGGCTTCTTGTACAAGAGTTATTCCTCTCCCCACGAGGAATAAGCCCTCTTGTGCAAGAAGGCAGTGTGGACGGGCAACAGGGGTTTCTTGCGCAAGAGAGCATCCACACTGCCATGGACACTCTCGTGCAAAAGCACGTGGCAGGGTGGACACGCTCTTGTGCAAGAATGTTTGCACAGAAACTCTTGCGCAAAACAGTTCTTGTGCAGGAAGCCTGCAGTGTAGACATAGCCCAGATGTTTTTACAAGAGCCATCATGATCATCACTATTTTGACTGTAGGGCAGTGGGCAATTGAGCTAGGGGGCCTCATGATAGGAACTATACAGATAAATAGTAAAATACAGTCCTTTCCCTAAAGGGGTAACAACCTAATAAATTAGACAGACAAGAGGGGAAACAGAGGTACAGAGAGATGAAGTGACTTGCAGAAGGGTATAAGGCTAGTCAGTGGCAAAGTCAGGGACAGCATTCAGGTTTCCTGAGTCCTAATCTAGTGCCCTATCCACTGGACCGTGATGCTTTATGTCTCACACAATGTGGGGTGTGGGGAGGCTAGCCAGATAGCTGCCCGGGGCACCAACCTATGGGGGGCGCCTGATTGAAGTGGTAAGAGGCGCCGCACACCTGGGGTGCAACTATGGCTTGGTCTTTATGTCTCGCGTCTTGCTCACAACGTAAAACAAAGGCATATGAAGTCAGGTACGTCCGTGCGCCCCCCACTGCAGCCAGTCCCAGCATTGCTGTTTCAATTGGCACCGCCTGCAAACGGAAGGTCCCAAGTGGAGCTAGAAAGATTACCCTATCCCTGGAGACCGTCTTGCAACCCACTGAGACGAAGGAGAGCCATTCATGCGGCCTCCTCACTAGCCTAAGTTGCCCCTCACTGCTGTAAATCCTCCGGGACTGGGACCATCTTTAGCTTTGTTTCTTGGACAGCACAGAGCACTGGTACTATGTTACTTTTCAATAACAACTTTCACCTCAAACAACTGCTACATCACCCGCTGCTGAAATGCGACTGTCTCTGGGGTGGAACATGACAGCTAACACCAACTCTATGCAAACGTTAGCACAGGAAATGAAGCAGACAGCTCCTAATTGCAACTTCAGGGGGATCTGATAATGAGTTAGTACTGCTTATATCCACTCTCTCCCCCACGTTCAAAGCACTTCATATACATCCAATTAATTTAATTTAAAGCAGGAAAAATAATTACCCTCATTAAAATTTGGCAAGGACACCGAAGTGAGCAGTCCTGCACTTGCAAAGTTGACAGAAAGTTGCATTAGTCTCCAGGATGAAAGGGGGAGGAAGAAAAGGAAGGCAGGGTTAAAACTGACGGCTGCCCCTACCCCTTTTCCCGTTTCTCTTTGAAATCCCATGTTAACATGCAGCATGCAGACGCCTCTGCGGCTTTCATCTGCACACAGTAACTCCCGCAGTAATGAATGATAGACAGCGATGCAGGATTTCCCACTGTGGCTGGGCAAGCGTTATCAGTCAGGAGCAGCAGGAGGAAATGGAAAAGAAAATCTCATCAAATGAGCAACCCCCCAAATTCTCATCCATCTCGATCTCCATTGACAAACCCTCCCTCCCACCTCCAAAGAGCTGATCCAGACCGACCCGCTGAGCCCTGTGGAGCTACCGAGGTCAGAACTGGCTTTGGTTTTTCATCTCGCCAACGAATCCTGAGGATTTCTTACCATTCGAATCGTTTGTGCAACCTGTCTGAGCGTGGGTTAGCAAAGCCAGAGTTGCTGGAAAGCAGCAATTATGACATGGAATTCCCTGTGGCTCCCGTTGGTGGAAGCAGACAGAATGTTGTGTTCTTTGCATCACAATGAGTTGAGCATCACAATAGTGCTGGCAACGTGGAAACACACAACAGTAAAGACAGGATCAGGCCACTGAAATGTGACGTGACGTGCAGGATCACTCCAGCGGACCTAAGAATGGACCTAAGCACTCTCCCGTGAAAGTCTCTCAGCTGGTGTATAGACAAAACCCCTCTGCCATCGAGAAAATGTGATGTCCGATTTGCAGGTGGTGATTAAAATGCCTCGTTTTGGGAGACAGAGCACACACTGGCTGCATGTTGGCCACACTACACCCTGGGGATTTCTCCCTGTTATTTTAAACAGTGAATTGCACGTTGATTGAGTTCTCTGCAAATCAAGGTTGTACAATACAGGGGTGTTGCAGCAAGCCTCTGTGCTACATCTCAACCCTTCTCCGAAGAGTTACCCAAGGGCTAGAGGAGAGTTCAGTTCTTGGATTCCCTTCAGCTAGTCAACCAGCGAACCTCTCTAGTCCAGGACTCTCTGGTCCAGCAACATCTGTGGTCCAGCATGATTTGAGTTAGCCGGATGTCTACTTATCACGGGCATGGCCAAGTTTCCTGCAGTCCCATAAAGTTTATTTACAGCCACCAGTCATGACTCTCTGGATGTGTCTAGACTGGCTAGTTTTTCCAGAAAATCAGCTGCTTTGCCGGAAAGCTTGCCAGCTGTCTACACTGGCCGCTTGAATTTCCGCAAAAGCACTGACTTCCTACTGTAAGAAATCAGTGCTTCTTGCGGAAATGCTATTCTGCTCCTGTTCAGGCAAAAGTCCCTTTTGCGCAAAGCTTTTGCGCAAAAGGGCCAGTGTAGACAGCTCAGATTTGTTTTCTGCAAAAAAGCCCCGATCGCGAAAATGGTGATCGGGGCTTTTTTGCGGAAAAGCGTGTCTAGATTGGCATGGACACTTTTCTGCAAAAAGCGCTTTTGCGGAAAAGCGTCCGTGCCAATCTAGATGCTCTGTTCTGCAAATGCTTTTAACGGAAAACTTTTCCGTTAAAAGCATTTTCGGAAAATCATGCCAGTCTAGACGTAGCCTCTGTGGTCAGTGCTTTTATTTAGCTCTAATTTACCCCTCAATGTCTTCTCAGAGCCCAGAAAGCAGTGGAAGGGGCGGTAATGCTGCTAGATAAAATTGGCTTCCCGTGGTTCAGCACCGGTCAGGTCCCGAGGGTGCCGGATTAGAGAGGTTCCACCTGTACCAGTGAGCGCCGTCATTGCTCATGGGTTTGTGACACCAACAAGCATTGCAGCTGAGAGGAGGCTGCTCCCCAGGGTGGGAACACAATCGCCCCAGCCTCGCTTTCCTCTCTATCGCGCCCATCAGCTTTAATTAATGTTCCTCTTCTGGTGCCAGAACATAAACAGTTCACTTGGCTCTCCCATGAACTAGCGTTCCCTTCCCTGTGCAGCAGGGCCTCGTAGATGATCTCCTCTGCTGCTTCAGGCTTAGTGTGTTCTATCCATGGGTTGCTGGTCTATTTTGGTTGCCTCTCTTTGAGCCCAGTCCTGTCCTCTCCGGTATTTCATGCCTGGAAATGCTTCCAGCCTTTCTTGTGGCTTTCTCCCTGGCTCCCAGTTCATCACCCACTGGAGGTGGCAAACTCCCCCAGCCTGATGCCTTCCTGGCTCTCCAGCAAACTCCTCTCACGGGCTCAGGCATCAGACACTCACGCTTTGCAAATCTGGGTTTAAACCAGTGAGCTAGAAATGAAAAACTCGGTCCCCGGAGCCAGCCAGTTCTGCAGCCAGCTTCAAGTCTTTAGAAAGGAAGTGAAATCTGAAAGCAGACAGCTCTGGGGATCCATCCCAAAGTAAGTCAGGCGGCAGCTTCAATGTGGAGATTTGGAGAAAGGGAAGGGAGGGACAAGGAGAAACCGTATAAAACGGAGAAAAATCTCTCAAGAGGGCCCTGGGATACTTCCACCATGAATATTAATGTCTTGGGAGAGTGGTATTTAAAGGTGCAAAACTAGTTTTTGGAAACTGCCCTCCGGCATTAGAAGTATTATAAAATTCAAGCCTTTCCTATTATAATAGCTGTCTCATTCATGTCCGAATCTGTTCCAAACCTTCCCCCAGATAAGAAGGTGTTTGAATCTGAGGCGATTTGGTTCAGCCCATTACAGCTATGAGAACCGATAATGTTCTGATCGAAATTAAAACTTTCTTGGAGGCTAAGGATGTTGAGAACTCACGGTTTTAGTGTGGTCTCATCTCGTTTCGGTCATATTGTATCTTCAGTGCGTGAATGGCCCGATTACCATAGTGTCTGATCGCTATTTTTATCTGCACAACACTCTTGTGTGGCATGGCAAAGCTATTGTCCTCATTCCACAGAGGGGAAACTGAGGCACGGGAAGATGAAATGACTTGCCCAAGATCGCACAAGTGCAGGGAATTGCACTGTGCTCTCTTAAGTCATTAGCCAGCTCTCTAACCCACTGGGCTGTCTCTACTGTTTGAACGGCAGTGCAGAGAAATATGTGCAGGAGGAATTGGCTACATTTCCAAACAATGCAACAGAAAATAAAAGTTAACCTAATAGGACAACATCCAACGCAGGGATTTTACAGGGCCATCTATTTCTGCATGTGTCATAAACTCAGCTCTGCATGTGATATTGCATTGAATACACATGCTGTGAAAATATGACCATTAGTTATTTATTCCACAATAAAGAGAGATGATACCAAGTTGTGGCTGGTGTGATATGCAATAATGAATCAGCGAAAAACCATGGATACGCACATCATCAGGAAATCAACAACAGACCCTTCCTGTGGGTTCTGATTGGTCATCAATCAGTGCAGCCAGCTAACATGATGGGCCAAAAGGAGGTCGCATCCCATTGACCACAAGCTGCAAGTCACCTGTCTGAGGACCTGCAAGCATCTTTCATTGTCACCTTAGCCAAATGTCCCTCGTTTTTGCATAAGTGCTAATGTCAATATATTTCTATGTAATTTTGAGACTACAGCAAACAATTAGTGAAATTTAACGCGACAAAGGAATAATTATGTGAGTTAATTTTTTTTACCCTGGACTAGCTGTTGAATTATTAATGTGTTTTATGAACATATCTGTTCAATTATCCCAGGGAGTATGTAACTATCTGAAATATGGCATGCCGATTCTTATGGCTATGCCATCTTCAATCATTGGCAAAGATCCTGGCAGGAAAAGAGTCTGATTGTGCCAGCACTGCTGAGCCAGCATACTTACTGCTGCAGGGAGTCCCACAGATCTCAGCTTTGGACGAGCTAAGCACTAAATCCAATGCGCAGCAGAGGTTTAAAAACTAACTTGCTTATAAAGTTCCCTACTGAGTCAAGAACAACGAGGAGTCCTGTGCCTACCCCTTGTGGTAGGCACTGGGTGAACAAGACTGAGTCGCCTGGAGCTAGACGCACGGAGACGGCAAGAGTGGGGTACACAGCGAGAGATCGTTCGCATTGATTCTAGTGAAAGTGCAAGTGTGTGGAGGCCATTCCGCTGTTTGCCAAGCCCGTGGTGCTCTGAGAGTATGTCTACACCAGTGGTCTCCAACCTTTTTACACCCAAGATCACTTTTTAAGTCTCAGAACAGGCGAAGATCTACTGCCCCGCCCCTTCCTTGAAGCCCCGCCTACATTACATGAGGAAATCTAATGTAAATGTACTGCGCAGGTGCGCAGTTCAGAGCGGGCTCAAGAGCTACTCTCAGAGCCCCTGAGATCTACCGGTAGCTCGCGATCTACTGGTTGCTGACCACGGGTCTACACTACAATTCAAAGATCACAGCTCCTGGCTGGTCCCAGGCCAGTTACCTGTGAGGCCCAGGCTAAGGGGTTGGAATCCAGGTTCTAGGATCCTGTGAGGTGATGCAACCAGAACCAGAACTTCCACACCACAATTAAACAGCCCTCTTAGCCCGAGGCAGCTGGCATGGACCAGCCGTGAGTTTTTCGTTGCAGTGTAGACATACCCTGGGAGGCCCAGAGAAAGAGGGCAGAGCTAAGGGGACCATGCAGTCAAACCTCTATGTGCTAAAGCCATCAATGCTATTGGAAGAGGGCAGAGCTAAGGGGACCATGCAGTCAAACCTCTATGTGCTAAAGTCATCAATGCTATTGGAAGTCAGCCTCGTTACTTTGCTCTGCACTCGCTGAGGATTTGACTGTCAGGCTGTATACAGCCTCCAAGAGAGACATTACCACACCGCCCACACTGAGAGGAGAGCGCAGCCCTTCACGTTCATTAGACACCAAGATCAAGGCATGAGAGAGGCAGAGGGAGGGAGTGAGTCACGCCACCCACCTCAGGGCAACCTCCTCTTTTCTCCGCAGTGCTCCAGGCACTAAAAGCTGGGCGGAAGGAAAAGCAAACAATTACCACGCCAGCGTCTGCTTAGCTGGTGGGGCTGCCCTCCCGTGCCTGGCTGGCGGGCAGGAGACGCGCAGTCATGCCGCCGGGTTCCCTCGACTTTCGGGCGTCAGCGGCGTGAGAGCAACACCGCGAAGGAGCTCCTGACACGGACAGACTTTGAAATCACTCGCCCGTCTCTCTCCTGCCCTGGGCACCCCTGGCTCTGCCTCAGGGTGAACTCGACGTGCTGTGACTACCACGGAGATGTGTCTCATGCCCTCCCCGGAGTGGCCAGAGGGGCCAACACTCCCTGGTGTGTTATTACCAAGTTGTCGATTAACCACAACAAAGATGCTCATCCCTGTTCAGAGCCCTCAGCCCTGCCCTGAGGATCTTACAGTCCAGCAGGCCCACGGGGGAAAGTGTGGGGCCAGCAGGGGGGGGGAGGGGGGACAAAGAGAACACTTCCCCAGGGCCAAAGGCTTGTGAGGACGGCTGCAGCCCCTGGCCCTTTAAATCGCCACCAGAGCCCTGCACAGTGCGCTCCAGGAATCTCTGAAGGCTGCCTGGGGGAGACTAACCCCAGCCCTGTCCCTTCTGCCTGACGTGCTGTCCTTTCTGGGGGACACAAAGCCAGACTCCCGCCGTGCCCAGGTGAGTCTGTCGGCCTCCCTGGAATCGAGGTTGGCAGTGTGCCGGGGACGCAGAAATCTCACCCCGCAGAGAAGGCAGCTGAGGCTCCTACATTTCCAAGTCCACACGCCGCTAAAGCATTACACTTCCTCTTGATGGAAGAGGTGGCACAGCACAGTGCAGCGCAGCAGTCTAGACGCAGCGCGGTCGACAAGGGAAACCTCGTTTCACAAGGTTTACCGGAACGGTCGACAAAGGCTTCCCTTGTTTACCTCGCTGCATCTAGATTGCTGCGCTGTGCCGGATCAGCTGATTGTCGGCACAACGTGGCCACCATTTTTATTTTAATGAAGCAGGGATTATTTAAATCCCCGCTTCTTTGACTATGTCAAGTAAACTGCTTTACTTGGCTCCGTCGACGGAGCCATGTAGTCTAGACGTACCCTTAAAGACTGACAGATTCATTAGGCCAGGAGCTTTCATGGGTAAAACCCACTTCATCAGATGAGCTGGAGTGCAACCACAGCATCAGGGGCGCATCCACTAATGTGAGATATGCCATCAAGAGCCAGCAATGCCCCACTGCCATGTATACTGGCCAAACCAGACAGTCTCTGCAACAAAGGATCCATGGACACAAGTCAGACATCGGGAATGGTAATACACATAAACGAGTCGGGGAACACTTTAACCTTCCTGGACATTCAGTAATAGATTTAAAACTAGCTATCCTTCCACAAAAGAACTTTATCACCCAATTACAGAGGGAGGCAGCTGAACTGGAGCTCATTTACAAGTTCAACACTATCCGCATAGGCTTGAATAAAATCTGAAATGATTAGTGCACTACAAAGGCCATATCCCCACCTTTGATATTCACATTTCCACATCAAATGCTATGAACGAGACATATCCAGTCTGACTTAATTAGTGCCATTAACACTAGTCCTACAATTGACAGGTAACTTCTTTTGCTGTTATATATACCTTGGATTCTATACTCTCCACTCCAACTCATCTGATGAAGTGGATTTTATCCAAGGAAGCTCATGACCTAATAATGACTTAAGGGCATGCCTACACTGTGGAGTTATTTCGAAATAACTCCCCTTATCTCAAAATAACAAGGTGAGCATCCACACTACCAAGCCTGTTATTTTGAAATAATGAGCTTGTTATTTCAAAATAGTAACTCCTGCTTGTGAAGAGGAGTAAGTTTATTTCAAAATGGTTATTTCAGGAGTCATTATTTCAAAATATCCTGGTAGTGTAGACATAGTCAAAGGAGGACCAGGACTGCTGGTTGTTTTTAAAATTACAGATTAATATGGCTTCCCCTCTGAGACTTTTTATCCTACTTTTATGTTTCGCAGAACAGGGGGAGAATGAGCAGAGGGAGGATAGATATGCCACGCCTTCCCTATAACATGCTACATCGCTGACTTTTAGTGTTGGGATCAACATTTCTGGGCAATCCCAATGAAACTACCAGGAGTGTCAGGTAGTACTCAGTGGTGTTTGTAGAATGAAGCTGGCTTAATTTGTCTATTCACTGAACAGCCAGCAAAATGTAACAACTTTCAATCATTCCTGATCACAGCTGGACGTACATCAGTGACCCAGAAGTGAAAAGTTCCTTAGGCCTTGTCTACAGGTTAAAGATGTGCAGCTTCAATTATATTGGTCCAGTCTCCCTAGTGTGTGATACTGATTTAAAGGCGCTTTGGTACAATGGGGAGCCAAAATAGTGTTGTGCGTAATCTGTGTGTGTACCAGCCCCGTTCCTGCTCACAATTTCTTGGACTATTCAACTGTTTCAAGGCTAGAATTTTATCCTCGTCTGGTATTTATGCACAAATGCAGTCACTTCATCATTCCCTAAAAACAACCCCGGCAGTGGTCATGCTACTTCCTCACAGCCAAAGTGCCAACCAAAAATTGCATCCTTTTCTCCTGAGTAAAATCTCTTGGCCCACCTTCGCCTCCTAGCATCCCCATCCAAAACGCCACCCGCTCAGGGATGTGAGCTTGATTTTCATCACTTTTTGCCTGCATATCTGCCTTGCAGTGGGCTGCTGCAGGAGCCAGAGGTGCACTCTGTTTGAACTCCACATCCTTGATAGGACAGTGGCGAATTAGATTTGCTGTTGTCAGTTTCGATATGCTTCTTTATGCTCCTGGGACAATCCAAGCTCCCTCTAGTGGCTCAGTTCTCGTGCAAAAGGCATTGTTGCTGAGGGGGGAGGGAGTTTCTGCGTCATCCCTTGAGGCTAAGGAAATTCCAAGCAGCCTGCTAGATAAAGTGACTGATTTGGGAAGCTGTGATTTCATATCCATTTGGGGTTCTCTTCATTACAATTCCTGTTATTGAAACTCCCGTCTAGCACTGATGGAGATGACTCTTTAACCCCGTTACTTGCTGTGCTTCAAATTCTCGCCCGTCATTTGCAAATGTTAATTTTCAGAAAGTCAAGTGCTCTTTGATCAAGCAGATAACACGGCCCGGGAGTCACGACAAGCATGTCATGCCGTCTTGGGCTACTGTCTTGTTAGATCTCAGGAGCTCCCCCGAGTCAGGACCCTTATATGGCAGATCTCCACATCAGTGTCCCTCTTCCTGTTGAGTCAGTACTGATCCGATGGCCAACCCTGGTGTCGTGCAGTGCCGGGTAATTAGAGGTGCCATCTTTCAGAAGAGCCATTGCATGCGATTTTGAGAAGGAACCATATATGACCTTAGAGAAGGGGCTTTTTTTACAGGAATAGGTGTCTTCACTTCTGTCCAAGCCAAATTTTAATTGGACCAATTATTCTGCCTATCGCCAGCAAGCTCCTGCCCTGAATTCTTGGGGCATGGTGCTGTGGGCTCTTCAGTGCAAATGGGTACAACTAGGAACAAAGAAAGCAAGTTGTATATCCACAACGGGGCCCTCTCTCCTGGGAAGCAGGGAAAACACGTAGAAGTCCCAGTGGATAAGCAGCTAAAGAGGAGCTCCCAGCGCAAAACTGGCCAAAAAGGGTAATGTCATACTGGAATGCATACACAAGGGGATCTCAAGTTGGAGCAGAGAGATTATTTATCTCTGTATTTGGCACTGGTGCGATGGTTGCTGCAATCCTGTGTCCTGTTCTGGGGCTTGCAATTCAAGGCAGATGATAATAAATAGGAGAGGGTCCAGCGAAGAGCCGGGAGAATGAATAAAGGATTAGAAAACGTTATAGCGATAGATTTCTGGAGCTCAGTCAATTCAGAGGGTTAGGGGTGACTTGATTACTGTTGAGAAGTACCCACATGGGGTGTGTCTACACTACAGGGTTTTGTCAACAAAAGTGAACTTTTGTCGACAAAACTATACCTGCGTCTACACTACCGCTGAGTTCTGTTGACAGTAAGTCGACAGAATGCGGCACTTTTGTTGACGGTGGTAAACCTCATTCTACGAGGAATAATGCCTTTTGTCGACAGAGTTCTGTCGACAAAAGGTGCTATTGTATCCACACTGTGCTTTTTCAAAAGAGAGCGGCTTGCTTTGTCGACAGAACTGGCTGTAGTCTAGATGCTCTTTGTCGACAGAGGCTTTGCCTCTGTCGACAAAAGCCTGCAGTCTGGATATACCCGTAGGGGACACAGATGTGATCGCGGGCTCTTCCAACCGGAGAAAGGTACCATGTGATCCAATGGCTGGAAGATGAAAGATCGTTTCAGACTGGAACTAGAGTCCACATTTTCAATAGCCGGAGGAACTAACCACTGGCCCAATTTATCAAGGTTCATGGTCTGGGTTCCCTCTAATTTTTCCCAGCCCTGTGCGGAATGAATTTTCTTATGTGGAGGTGACGTGAGACATGGAGATGGCGTGCACATGGAGGTGGCGTGTGACATGGAGGTGACGTGCGACACGGAGATGGCGTGCACATGGAGGTAGCATGTGATATGGAGGTGACGTGTGACACGGAGATGGCGTGCACATGGAGGTGGCGTGCGATATGGAGGTGACGTGCGACACGGAGATGGCGTGCACATGGAGGTGGCGTGCGATATGGAGGTGACGTGCGACACGGAGATGGCGTGCACATGGAGGTGGCGTGCGATATGGAGGTGACGTGCGACACGGAGATGGCGTGCACATGGAGGTGGCGTGCGATATGGAGGTGACGTGCGACACGGAGATGGCGTGCACATGGAGGTGGCGTGCGATATGGAGGTGACGTGCGACACGGAGATGGCGTGCACATGGAGGTGGCGTGCGATATGGAGGTGACGTGCGACACGGAGATGGCGTGCACATGGAGGTGGTGTGCGATATGGAGGTGAAGTGCGATACATCACTTTCCTATTGGTGCACGTAACCAAATGCATGTGTTGGATGTGGGGCCAAGGACTTCTGAGTGTGGGAGGGGGCTTAGGACTGGGGCAGAGGATTGTGAGGGCTCCGTTTGGGGGTGTGGGCTCTAGGGGCTGAGGGGCTCAGGGCTGGGACAGAGGATTAGGGTGCAAAGGCTCTAGCTGAGGGTGGGGCTGGGGGTAAGGGGTTTGTGGTGCAGGAGGGGGCTCTGGGCTGGGGGGTGTGGGCTTTGGGATGTCACTGGGGATGAAGGCTTGGTGTTCAGGAGGGGACTCGGGACCAAGGGGGTTCAAGTTGGTTGAGCCTTGGGCTTATTTGGGCAGCTCCCTACTGGGGATGGTGAGGCAGGGCTCCTCTCTGCCAGCTGCATAGCTCCATGGTGGAGCCAGCAGGGAGGGGTGCCCCCCCACCCCAGCGGCTGCAGCAGCTTCAGGGTTTGGGGAGAGATATCCTTGGGGCTTACGTGAGGTTTACTAGGAAGTTGTGTGGCTGCGCAGCTTGGGGGTGTGATGGGGCGGACAGGGCCCACACTAAAGGGTAGAGAGTAGCCCAGTATAATAACGACAAATGCCAAGTGCTCCACTTAGGAAGGAACAATCCGTTTCACACATAGAGAACGGGAAGGGACTGTCTAGTAAGGAATGTAGGGGTCATAGTGGACCACAAGCTAAATATGAATCAAAAGAGTGACACTGTTGCAAAAAAAGCCAACATGATTCTGGGCTGCATTCACAGGAGTGTTGCGCTATGTTCTGCGCTGGTTAGGCCTCAGTTGAGTTCTGGGCTCCACCTTTCAAGAAAGATGTGGAGAAATTGGAGAAGGTCCAGAGAAGAGCAACACAAATGATGAAAGGTCTAGAGAACATGAGCTATGAGGAAAGGCTGAAGGAATTGGGCTTGTTTAGTGGGGAACAGGGGAGACATGAGAGCGGTTTCAGGTATCTTAAAGGATGTCACAGAAAGGAGGGAGGGGAAATTGTTCTCCTTGGCCTCTGAGGACAGGACAAGAAGCAATGGGCTTAAATTGCAGCCCATTGCAGGTTTAGGTTGGACGTTAGGAAAAACTTTCTACCTGTCGGGGGTTAAACACTGGAATAAATTGCCTAGGGAGGTTGTGGAATCTCCATCACTGGAGATATTGAAGAGCAGGTTGGACAGACACCTGTCAGGGATGGTCTAGACGGTGCTTGGTCCTGCCGTGAGGGCAGGGGACTGGACTCGCTGACCTCTCGAGGTCCCTTCCAGTCCTAATGTTCTGTGATTCTATGACCCAGCTGAAGAAAATAGTTGATGCCACGACTCAACGTCATTTGACTGCAGTGTGTGCTCTGGGGTGGGGCTGAGAGATTTGGGGAGCAAAAGGGGGCTCCAGCTTTGGGGGGGGCAGGGCTGGGGCAGAAGGGGCTTATTTTGAATGGCTGCGGGTCAGCGGTGAAGCATGCGGGGAGGGGGAAGCAAAGGCAGCTTCCTGCCTCTCCTGGCATTGTAGACCATGAAGCAGCCAGCAGCAGGTTTCTAGCCAATGGGTGGTAGAACTAGTGCTTGGGGCAGGGGTAGCATGCAGAGCCCTGTGCTCTTCCTCCACCGCCACCTAGGAGCCAGGCCTGTTGCCGGCCACTTCTGGGGCGCAGCGCAGTGTGAGGTGCCAGGACAGGCAGGGAGCTGCCTCAGCATCCCCACTGCACACCTGATCCCCCTGCAGCCACGAGACATCCCACCCCCCAGTCCTAGGTCGTGACCCATCCTTTGAAAACTGCTGGCTGAGCCAGGACGGAAATCGAGATCACGTGATACCCCCTCCAATGACCTCAAGTCTTATGCCTGGATCCTACCCCTATCCACCCTCACCTATTAGAGGGAAGGTGCTATGGTGCAAGATTAAAAAGAGCATTACAAGAAGGCAGTACCGAGAGCCTGGATCCCTTTGCAGAGACTCCGTTGTTCTTCTTGACCCAATAAGAGAAGGAAAAGGTTGCACGGCTTTGTACCATGAAAGGAGCAGCCAGATGCCAAGTATCCAAAAGGCACAAAATAAACCTTGTCCAGAGCCAGCGGCCCTAGCTAGACCCCTGGGTGCTAAGATACAGTTTTGTCTTATCCTCACCAAGTGGCCTGTCATCATGCTTGTAATTAGGTGGATAATCATTTGAAAAGATAGCGGAATACACAAATCGGCTCGTCCTTCAGCGACGCCAGTTTCCTTTCATCTCTTCCGGCGTCTTTCAGACAGAGAAGCAGAGCTGTGTGCTCCCAGCTCCATCACGGGCTCATTAAAGGGAAGCTTTCGCCTCGTTCTCTGTGCCTCACGGGCATGCCGGCGAGCAATCGCAGGCTGGCACGCCAGCCTCTTGACCATTGACGGCGCGAGGGAACTTTGAAGTCTTTGGTCTTGCTGAAAGTCTAATGCCACAGCATAGGCCGATTGCCATGGCAACGGGTTATCAGAAGGCAAAACGAGGGTTCTGAGTGTGGGGGGGGGGGGGGGGGGGGGGGGGCCGGGGTGGGGAGACTTTGTCCCTGGATAAGGGGAAATCCACAGGGAGGGCCCTGGGTAACCAGTCACGGCCGAGGAGAAACTCCGATCGTTAATATAATCGACCATTGTCACTTACAGTTGCCAACATCAGATGACAACGGGAAAGAAGATCAAGGGAGTTTTCAAAGGCAATGAAGTATTGAGAGAAGGGATGGAGGGGAACAGGAGCTGCCGAATTGCCTGCCGCTTGCGGGGCTGCATAGATTAGTTCTCCTGTGAGCAAGGCCAGGACGTGTTGCCGTTGTCATGTTTGCCCTGCCATGGTGCCTTTTGTCTGACAAGCCCCAAGTGTTTTGCATCTGAGACCTGTGTCCCTTGGAAAAACAACCAAACTAGAGGAGTACATGGAGCTATGGAAGAGTTCGGTCCAGAGATGGGTGTGGATCAGCCCAGGGGTGCTGGAATGGTGGGGGCCAATGGGGCAGGGCATCGATTTTACCTCCTTAAGGGCGAGCAAAAGGAGGCAGGGGGCAGAGCAGGGGGTGGAGCTGTGTGGAAGAGGCGGAGCAAGGGCGGGGCCTTGGTTCAGGCTCTGTTGGCCCCCTCCCCACTTCTAAGGAGCTTCCAGTGCTCTTGCAAAACACCCCTCCAAGCCAAAGACACCTGCACCTAAATGCAAGCCACAGAGAAAGCTGAGACTGGGCTGGAGGTAACAGTGCGCACACTTAGGTCCTGGGCAAAGCGGACTGGGATTGCAAGGAGAGTGGAGGAGCTAGCGAGGGATTGGGAGGAGCTCAACAAGGTGTACCAGGCTCAGTTGCTTTCACTCTACTCCCCAATGAGGACATGCAACTTAGAACCTGCTTTTTGCCGAAGGCATTGGGCAACACCCCTAGGAATCACGCCCCAGACCTTCAAAAGGATATGGGAGTTAGGAGCCTAACTCGCTTTCCGGAGCTGAGCTCATAGCACATCGCTGTTTGCTGACACAGCAACAGGCCTGCCAGTGTCCCATGAACCAGATCGCCTCTCTGCCCAGATTTTGTAATTCCCCTAGCCGGAGCAAACCACCTTTCCCATGGCGACCTTAGGAAACTAATCTGTGGGAGTGTCTTAGTGTCTGAGGCAGGTTTATGAGCCAGCTCAATGGACTACAATCAGTAACGAGGATCAAGCATTAAGAATAAGTAATAAGCATTAATCAATTTGATACACATTGTAACAGCATTAATCACAAGCAATATATTAGATAAGGACACAAAGTCTTTACATAATTGCTGCAGGGTTGGCACCGCGTTACCTAAACTGTCCAAATGTCTTCAATTCTCCCTCTCCCCGCCAACACAGACACATGCATTACCGGGGAGCCATCATATTGAGAGACCGTCTCACTGCTGGATTCCCAGGCTTCTAGTCCATCCCTGGAGGCATTTCGGCATCATCTTGATTTCTCAGACTGCCTCCAGACTTGTTCCTTTCTACACCAATCCCCTTGGCTGTGTCTACACTGGTCACTTATTCCGGAAAATCAGCCGCTTTTCCGGAATAACTTGCCAGCTGTCTACACTGGCCCCTTGAATTTCCAGAAAAACACTGACGATCTACTGTAAAATCATCTGTGCTTTTCCAGAAAAACTATGCTGCTCCCATTCGGGCAAAAGTCCTTTTCCAGAAAACTGTTCCGGAAAAGGGCCAGTGTAGACAGCACAGATTTCTTTTCCGCAAAAAAGCCCCGATCACGAAAAAGACGATCGGGGCTTTTTTACGGAAAAGCGCGTCTACATTGGCACGGACGCTTTTCTGGAAAAAGTGCTTTTCCGGAAAAGCATCGTGCCAATGTAGACGCGCTTTTTCCGGAAATACTTAAAACGGAAAACTGTTCCGTTTTAAGCATTTCCGGAAAATCATGCCAATGTAGATGTAGCCCTTGTGTCTACCTGCTCCTCTTCCTGCTCACACCGCTGCTGTGTTCTCTCTGGTCTCCTCCTCCTACCCCCGTTTCTGCCCTAAACCAATACTCCGTGGGTATGTCTTCATTTGCAGAGTGTGATGGAGCTGTAAAGCAGGGCACCACCACGCCCACCAGCCCCCTCCTCACCGCACATCCCTTTCCCTTGACCAGGCACGAGGAAGGGTCCTGAACCAGGCACGGCTGGGCCCAGAGCTGGAGAGGAGCGCAAGGCCAGGAACGGATGCAGAGTCCCATGTGGCGCAGGGGGAGAGCGCCAGACGTCACAGCTGGGAGCAGGTCTGTGTGGGGCTTACGCGGGAGCAGCCGCGGTGGGCAGGAAGCCAGTGCAAAGGAGATACTGACGGAGCTGGCCCTGGACCACGTAAGCTCCTCTCTGGTTCAACAGCGACTGGCCTGGAAGAGACCCTGGAAGAGAACTGCCCGCAGCAACCCAAACTTTGGCCACTATTGCTCACTTGGAACTGTAACTGGTCACGCCTCCATAAATGGGATCCCTTTCCCTTAGTCGTGGGTCTCAGTCACAGGCATCGGAACTAGCAGTGTGCGGGGCGGGGTGGGAGCTGCAACCCCCTCCCCGAGATTTATTAGGGCTGCACTTCTGGCCCCTTGCACTGGTCCTGGTGGCTGCCACCCCCCAGCCAGGGTCCTGGCAACTCACCTGCCCCCCCTCCAGGGTCTCAGCTGCCAACCCTGCACTGGGGTCCCATCTGTTGTCCCCCCACTTCTGAGTCCTGGTTGCTAGCCCCACACCTGGGCCTGGCTTCTGCCCCCCTCCACTGTCTTAGTTTCCACACCCCACCCCACCCCAGATCCTGGCTGCCAGCACGGGAACTCTGCTCCTGGCCCCGCCACCCAGTCGAGGTAAGGGGGCTGGTTTACTGCACTCCCACTATTAAAAGTGCTACTGGTCCGAGTAGTTATTGGGACACAGCTTACCTGGAGCACTGACTAGCTTGTCTCCTCGTGGCAGTACACCCGGCCTGTCACTGCCCACCAGGGTCTGGTGTTCCCCTGTGCTGAGCAGCAATAATGCCAAGGTATCTCCCATTCCAAGGGCAGTCCTGTGAGGAACCTACCAGGGGACCATTGCAGATGTGGGGGGAGGCAGACTGTGCATGCCTGGATGGGGAGAAGGAGTAAGGGCATGTGGGGGGCAGACTGAAGACAGTGGCTTCAGCAGTGTTACTGAGCATGCTCAGTACAAGTCAAGCAGCAAATTGGGCGAATGGGGCTCCAGGGGCTACTAAGGCCCTGCAAAACTCTAGCTTTTTGGCACGCAACGTAGGAATTAGCTGACAGGAGCACTGTATCTAATTCCTATATAGAACAAATTAAATAAATATGAGACCCACTCAGCTCTAACACTCACATATTCTGACATGTTGTGGCAAGTCACTTACGGGACACAGGTGAGCCTAACAATGTTAATATATATTCTTACTTTGTTACTAACTCTGTGGGGAGAGAGAAACCCTGTCAGGACTCCTGGGCTCTATCTCAGCTCTGGAATGGGTGGGGTCCAATGGGTTACAGCAGGGGGCGGTTACCTTTGGGCTCTGTATAAGAGTATTGGACTGGGTCAGACCAAAGGTCCATCTAGCCTAGTATCCTGTCTCTTGACAGTGGCCAATGCCAGGTGCCCCAGAGGGAGTGAACAGAAAAGGGAATCATCAAGTAATCCCTCCCCTGTTGCCCATTCCCAGACAAACAGGGGCTACAGACACCATTCCTGCCCATCCTGGCTAATAAGTATTGATGGATCTAACCTCCATGAACTTCCTTCCTCCTCTTCATGGATTAGTCGCCATGTATATATATATTTTTGCAATGTATATAGTGGCTGGCTATGCCTACAATCTATCCAACCTCATTCCCTCGTGGTCCATGGGGCAGGGACCTGAGAAGCCCCTAAATTAGCTTTCAGATCTAACAGAGTAAGGCTGTGTCTAGACTGTCCACTTTTTCCAGAAAAGCAGCCGCTTTTCTGGAAAAACTTGCCAGCTGTCTACACTGGCCGCTTGAATTTCCGCAAAAGCACTGACGATCTCATGTAAGATTGGCAGTGCTTTTGCGGAAATACTATGCTGCTCCCGTTCGGGCAAAAGTCTTTTGCGCAAAAGGACTTTTGCCCAAATGGGAGCAGCATAGTATTTCTGCAAAAAGCACTGATTTCTTACAGTAGGAAGTCAGTGCTTTTGCAGAAATTCAAGTGGCCAGTATAGACAGCTGGCAAGTTTTTCTGAAAAAGCAGCTGATTTTCTGGAAAAACTGGCCAGTCTAGACACAGCCATAGACTTACAGAACCGTAGGGTTAGAGAGTCTAACCCATCCCAGATAGATGGCTATCCAGCCTCTTTCTGAAAACCTCCAGGGAAGGAGCTTCCACATAAGCTATTCTTTCAGATGAGGGGACCTCACCATAAACCTCAGGCTTCAAGCCACATTCATCTTGTAGTTGGACTGTCACATGCACTCTTCCTTGGGCAATGCCTTAAGGTCATTGAGAAGCTGGTGAATGAAGAATGTTCAATGGCATTATTTACCGAGAGCATGTGACAGCTGTACTCCATGATGTGCAAACACTTCAGGCTGGGGAAAGGTTTGGATCAAGCTTTTGCCGATGAAGTACTAAGTGGCTTGGGTGCTCTCTCTCTCTCTCTCTCTCTCTCTCTCTCTCTCTGGGTATGTCTACACTACATGCTTATTTTGAAATACGCTTATTTCAAAATAGCATGTCTACACTGCAAGAAGCCTCAAAGTGAGTCCGAGGCAGCCCTCCCTAATGTAGACATGCTATCTCAATGCAGAGCCCCACGAGGCACTGGGCAGGAATAATTTAGAATGGCCCTTTTGATGGGCTATTTTGAAATAGCAGCAGTGGCGTGTCTACACATGCCTCATTTAGAAATAACTACTTTGGAATACAGGCAGTCCCCGGGTTACATACAAGATAGGGACTGTAGGTTTGTTCTTAAGTTGAATCTGTATGTAAGTCGGAACTGGCGTCCAGATTCAACTTAAGAACCCCAGGCATCCCCAAGTCAGCTGCTGCTGAAACTGATCAG